CGTCAATGGGGCCATCTGCAAAGAGTGCACTCGTCGCCAGAGGCTGGACGCGGCTTCGCAGCTCGCTAAGTGGAAGGAATGGGCCAAGAGCGCCGTCTCTGGAGGTGGTAAAGCGACGCATGCCTTCTCCAAGCAGCAGGTCTCGTGTGGTTTTTCGCGAGGTACGTCGGATGATCCTCGGCTTCCAGTGGCTGGTCAGGCCGCAGTGCAAGAGCTTGTCGATGCGTGGCATCCGATGTGGTTTCGAGCTGGCCGCGGGCCAGCACCGAGCTCCTGGGAAGTTCCTGCCGACGAGCCTGCCCTTTCCCCGCTCAGACTGGAGGATTTACATCGAGTTTGTAAGATGTACGGGCCCGCGGCGGGCCTAGGCTGGGATGGATTTAACCCGAGGTGGATTTTGCAGCTGCCCGAAAGTTACCAGTTTCGGCTCCTGGAGATTTTGGCGCTCTTCGAGGTCGACCCTGGGGCCGTCGTGATGTTCCTGACCAATGTGGTTTTCTTGGACAAACCAACGGGAGGGGTCAGGCCGATCGGTTTGCTTTGCCTTTTCACGAAGCTCTGGAGCCGATTGAGGCAGCCGTATTGCCGCTCATGGGAAAAGTCCCACGTGTACGAGTTTTTCTGGGGCTCAGGGCCCGACACGACGTGCGAGAGGGCCGGATGGGTCCACAACTTGCTCGGGGCGCATTGTCGTAAAGCAGGCTTCGAATCAGCGTCGGCTCTCTTGGACTTGGCAAAGTTCTATGAGAATGTCAACCACGGGGACCTCCTGGTCGCAGCTAAACGGTTTAGTTTCCCAGTCAGGCTGGTCAAAGCGTACTGTACCATCTATGCGGGCTACCGTGTGCTTCTTTACGGGGGAGCTTCGTCGGCCGTCGTCGAATCGAACGGGGCAAGCGTGGCTGGGTGTTCGGGGGCTACGACGTTAGCCAAGATGTTGCTACTAGGACCGCTATTGGAGGCCCGTGAGAGCAGGAACTTGTTGTATGTGCGTAATGTGGTGGACGACATCACTGTTCAGTGTTGCGGGCCCAAGCATCAGGTGGCGGCCCAACTGGCTGGTGGAGAAGAGTCTCTGATCAAGAGTTTCAAGCAGCTGCAGCTCCCTGTGGCGTTTAAGAAGTGTGCCTACCTTTGCTCGAAGGAGGTTGAGGCGCACCTGTCCAAGGCCTGGTCCCTCCCCACCTCTTGCCGCACCGACACGGCGAGGAATCTTGGGGCCAACGCTACCTTGGGAGGCCTCCGCAGGATCGGTATTCAGAACTCAAGGTTTGCAGGTGCGTCGCGCAGGGCCAGGAGGCTCAAGATACTACAAGGAGCTGGAGCCGACATCGGGATGGTTCACAGGATGGGGCCAGTGGCATCGGCCCTATGGGGATCATCGGTCTCTGGGGTGGCCCCCACAAAAATGGCTGGGCTCCGTATCGGGGCTGCTAGTTCCCTAGGCAGGCTCCCTAAAGGTGCTTCGGTTGGGCTCAGGATGTACACGTACGGGCTTGGGGTCAGGGTAGACCCTCTGGTGGTTTACGTGGGGCACGTGCTTTTCATGTGGGCGACTGCAGTTTGGGAAGCTGTCCCTCACGTTCAGGTGTTGGCCAATACCATGAGGGTCTCGATCGCCAAGTTTCAGAATTCAGCTCAGCCCTGGAGGTCAGCGTCTTCCCCCAGCGACGTCGCGCTTTTAACGTTGCGGGGCATAGGCTGGGACTTTGTAGACCAGCACACCATCAAAGATGACTTGAACGTTGTGCATGACTTGCTCAGGCTCTCCCCGATGCAGGTCAGGTCTATGATCAGGCAAGGTGCTGTGCGAGCGTCAGATAGGCATGCCCTTCTCTTGCAGAATGGCCTTGATGGGCCACCTGTGTACCCTATCTTCTGGGATGGCATTTCCAGGATGTTCAAGGAGAAGTCCGAAACCTGGGGGAAGCACCATCAGAGATGTTTAAGAGGTTTGGTCTCGGGAGTTCACTGGCCCCAAGCCCGACTTCATGCTCACAACCTCCACGATGATGATCTTTGTCAGGTGTGCAAGGGGGCCCCAGGTACTTTGTGGCACCGTCAGTACGAGTGCCCTGCGCACGAAGCATGGCGGCGAGACCATGCGAGTGCTCACTTGTATAGGTGTGCGCAGAGAGTAAAGCAGTTCGGGCCGCTCATGGCGGAGAGGTTCGCGAGGTGCATCTTTCCTCACCCTCGCTCGCTCTTCGACGTCGAGGAGCCCACGCAAACCGTTCACTGGCACGAGAGGCCCGAGACGGGGCGTTTGACGGGGTTGTTATTCCTGGACGGGTCGGCCAAATACATGGGCCTCGATGGACTCACTCGGGCTGGTTGGAGTATCGTATCGGTCGACAGGTTTGGGGAGTTGCTCTCGGCGGCCTATGGTCCAGTTCCTCTGAGTGCGGCCCCGCAGCAAACTAGCCAAGATGGGGAAGACTATGCTGTATATATGCTTACGCAAGTTGGTCTTCCCCCGCTTCAATGCTATATTGATTGCCAGAGCACTCTGGATTCGCTGTCTCGGGGCCCTGGGTTCGCGGAGGGCCCTGGAGCCCCCCGTGGGCATCTTTGGGGCCCCGTGTGGAGCTCGTTCACTCTCAGCGATTTCGAGTGCTTCAAGACGCTCGGCCACGCCACGGCGGCCGATGTCGAGGCGGGCAGGAGCAGTGTTTGGGAAAGACGGGCCAATGGGCTCGCAGATAAGTTCGCCAAACTAGGAGCCGAGTGTCACGGGGTCAGCGACGAAGGGGCCAGCCTGTACAGAGGCCTCAGGTGCCTCGCCCGCGAGGCCTGCAGGTGGGCTGGATCGGTGGAGGTACTGATGTCCAACGGGCCCCGTGACACTACAGGCCTAGTGCCCAGGTCGACAGGCAGCGATGGCCAGGGGCAGCACTCACAAGAGGTTGATGCCCTCGGCCAGGCCCTGGGCGACGATCAAAGGGAGGTGGGAGGTTCTTCGGACTTGGGGGAGGAGTGGCGTTCATTCTCTCGGCAAGTGTTTCGGGCCAACGGCCATGCTTTTTTGGCCAGCCCTGTCATTGAACCTCCTGGAAACCCCAGGGGTAGGATCCAATTTTGTTGTCGGTGCGGATCGTTTTTCTCTGGGGCTCCCAATGCTGGAGCTAAAGGCCTGTGCAGGCCCAAACTCACGACGGGTGGAATTAATGACCAGCTGAGAAGGATTCGGCAAGGCAAGTTTCCCTCGCATAAGAAGGACCTGAAGAATTTGACTCTGGGGGCTCATGAGAGCCTGAGCCTCGCCGAGCAGAGGGTCTTGGCTCAGTCGCTGGTAGAGGATGGCCAGGCCCCCCAGGGAGTTTCAGGTCCTGTGAATGTCGGCTCCGCGGAGGGCTTCGCCCCGCGAGAGCAGGTGTTGGATTCGTTCGGCCTGTCCGAGTCGGATTTACCCTGGGTCATGGACCTAGGGGCCGCCTCCCTCCGAGCCTCGGACTGCGGTTTCGAGTCAGACTCGGAGGCCTCCGATTTTGGCTGAACGAGGAGGTGCTCTGGCTTTAGGCCCGTCCCCAACAACCTCCTCCTCCTCCTCCTCCTCCTCCTTCTCCTTCTCCTTCTCCTCTTCTCCTCCCTGCCCTCCTCCTCCTCCTCCTCCACCCCAATCGCCATCTTCCTCCTTCTCCCCCTCCTTCTCCCCCACCTCAATCGTCCCCTCCTCCTCCTCCTCCTGCTCCTCCTCCTCCTCCTCCTCCTCCTCCTCCTCCTCCTCCTCCTCCTACTCCTCCTCTCCTCAAACGTCCTCTTCTCCCCTCTCCTCCTTCCTCCCACTTCAATCCTCCGAATTCCTCCTCCTCCTCCGCCTCCTCCTGCTCCATACCGCCCTCTTCCTCCTCTCCTACACCTCTCCTCGACCCTGTCTTCCCCGACCTCCATCTCTTCGTCCTCGTCATCCTCCAACACCACCTCAATCCTTCTTACCTCCTCCTCCCTCCTTCTCCGCCTCCTCCAACCACCACTCTATCGTCCTCATCCTCTCCTCATCCTCCTCCTCCTCCTGCTGTCACCTTACCGCCTCCCCCTCCGCCTCCACCTCAATCGTCCTCATCTCCTCCTCCTCCTCCTTCTCCGCCTCCTCCTCCTCTTCAATCGTCCTCTCTCATCCCTTCTCTCATCATCTCAATCGTCCTCTCCTTCTCCTCCTCCTTCTCCTCCCCCTCCTGCTCCTCCTCCTTGTCCTCCCTTCTCCTCTTCCCCTCCTCGTCTCACCTCCTCCTCTCCTCCGCCACCACCTCAATCCTCTTCCCTTCTTCCTCCTCTTCAAACCTCTCATCTCCTCCCCCCCCTCCTCCTCCTGCTCCTCCTCCTCCTCCTCTCCTCCTCCTCTTCCACCCCAATCGTCCTCCGTCCACCTCTCCATCCTCCTCCTCCCCGCCTCCTCTCCTCCTCCTCCTCCTCTGCCTCCTCTTCCTCGCCCTCTATTCCTCCTTCTCCTCCTCCTCCCCTCCTCCACCACCAACAATTGCTCATCCTCCTCGACCTCCTTCACCACCCCAATCGTCCACGCTCCTCCTCCTCCTCCTCCCCTCCTCCTACCTCACTGCTCCTCCTCCTCCTCCCTCTCCTGCTCCCTCCTCCATCCACTACTCCTCCTACCCTTTCCTCCTCCTCCCTCCCGCCTTCTCCCCACCCTCCCGCCTCCTCCTCCTCATTCTCCTCCTCCTCCCCCTCCTCCATCACGCAATCGTCCCTCTGCTCCTCCTCCTCCTCCTTCTCCACACACTCATAATCGTTCTCTGTATCCTCCCCCCTCCTCCTCCACCTCCTCCTCCTCCTCCTCCACCTCCGCCTCCTTCTCATCGTCCTCTTACCACTTGCTGTTCCTCCTCCTCCTACTCCGCCTCCTCCTCCCACCTCCACCTCAAAAACTCCTGTCCTCCCGTCCTCCCCCTCGTCTCGTCCAGTCCTCCTCCTCCTCCTCCTCCTCTAGCAACACCTCAATCGTTCTCTACTCCTCCGCCTTTCCCTCCTCTTCCTCCTCCTTTTCCTCCACCTCAAGCGTCCTCTCCTTCTCCTCCTCGTCTTCGTCGTCCTCATCCTCCTCCGCCTCCACCTCAATCGTCGTCTTCTCCTCCTCTTCCTACTCCACCACCTCAATCGTCCTCTTTTCCTTTTCCTCCTCCACCTCAGTCGTCCTCTCCTCCTCGTCCTCGTCGTCGTCGTCGTCGTCGTCGTCCTCCTCCTCCTCCTCCTCCTCCTCACTCGATCCACCTCCTCCTCCTCCTCCTCCTCGTCATCATCATTATTTTTTCCTCTCCTCCCCCTATTCGTCCTGCCCTCCTCCTCCTCCTCCTCCTCCTCCTCCTCCTCGTCTTCTTCCTCCACCTCGATCGCCCTCTCCTCCTCCTCCTCTTCGTCGTCCTCCTCCTCCTCCTCCTCTTCCTCCTCCTCCTCGTTTACCCAAAAAGGGGTCCAGCTACACGGGGGTGGTGCAATGGATCTGGCGCAATAGATTTGTTGGTTGCAATAGATTTGGGCCGTGCAATACATGTCTGGGGCGCAGACGTATTGTTGGATTTTCGCGTGCATTGCATTAGCTGTAATACGCTGCAATACAACCCTCTGATGCAATATATTTGCAATACAATTGCCCCAGATCTATCGCACCACCCCCTTTCAGCTGGATCCCCTTCTGTTTCGCCCAAGAATAGGGCCAGGGAGATCCGACGCTCCAACAAAAAGAGGGAGCGGAGGGATTTGGGCAGCTTTCGGCCTCCGAGGGGCCCTCGCCGGGCTATTCGGGAGCGTCAAGGAACGCCTCCAGGACGAAGAGCCGGCCCCGAGGAAATGGTCCTGACCTCTGGGGCCCACGCATCGAAACAATGTTGGAGCGGCCGGATGCCTGGGGGGGGAAGGCTTCTTAGAAACACCCTTGCTTCTTAGAAGGCGCAGACCTATATATGGATATATATATATATATATATATACATCTATGTGTACATATATATATATGTATATATATATATTGATTCAAGGCCGGCGCCTCCTAAGAAGCAGCCTCCTTCCAAGAAGCCTTCCCCCCTCCCCCTACCCCCCGTGTGCGCGCCGCCAAGAGGAGCTCGAGGCTCTGAAGGGGGAGCTCTCGAGGCTGGACGCCAGGCCCGCGCCGGGCGAAAGCCGGAGGCTGGTGGGGCCCACTCTGCGGAGTCGATTGGCGAGCTTCTAGGATCCTAGATGGGGTCGGAGTAGATGGGGTCGGAGGATCGTGCCGCATCCCCATTTCTTCACGCAGACGTCGCCGATGCATCGCTGACGTCGGCAGTGCATCGCCGATGCATCGCCGATGCATCGCCGATGCGGCGCGATCCTCCGAACCCATCTACTCCGACCCTATCTAGGAGGGCCTCTAGAACTTCAAGCAGTGGCGAAGCGTCCTGGCTCGCCTATATGCCCATCAAAGAAAGTTCTAGGAACCTTTTGTGGTCTGCACGAAAGGTTCTTGGAACGTGTCTGGCTGATGCTGTCTTGATTTAACACATCGGGGTTGTGTTCTAAGAGCATTGTTCTTGTTTTCAGAACATTTTCTTGGTTCCAGGAACATGTCGTGGTAGGCCTATAGGAATGCCGGGACGGCCAGTCCCTGCTCAAGGACTGCCTTTGCCAAATCTTCGGCGATATGATGTCTTCATCTGGCGTTCCTCTTTCGACATCGGCCCCCGGGAGGCCGCTTCATCGGACCCCGGGCAATCGAACCTTGGTCTGGGGCAGCAAATCCACCCGCAGGGAAGGGGTCGGGAGCTCTGGGGCCGCGGATGGAAAAATCCGAGCGGCGGATGTCTGGGCTTCTCCTCCTCCTCCTCCTCCTCCTCCTCCCTCCTCCTCCCCTCCTCTCCTAGCTCCTCCTCCTCCTCCTCCTCCTCCTCCTCCTCCTCCCCTCCACCTCCTCCTCCTCCTCCCTCCTCCTCCTCCTCCTCCTCCTCCTCCTCCTCCTCCTCCTCCTCCTCCTCCTCCTCCTCCTCCCTTCTCGATTCGCGACCTGCCTTTTTTTCTTCGATGCTCGAGGCTGCTGCTCTCCTGCAATTTTCTGGCGGGCCTGCGCCCGATGGGTCTGGGCCAGGCGGAGCGGGAGTGGCCCGGCGTTGGGCTCCCAGCTCCTGCGCGCCCATGCAGCGAGCGGCATGCCCCAAGGAAGCGCTCGGTGATTCAGATCGGCCTCGGGCGGTGAGTGCTTGACTCCATCTCGCGATCATGCGTCAGTGAGAACAAGGAGGCCCCTAATCCTAATAATTAGCACGATGAATACGTGGCCTCGCTGAGGTCCCCGTCTTCACATGACGGACACTAGATCTGGGCGGCTTGGCCTGGCACGTCTGCAGGCAAGACCCCCTTATCCCTCATGTTTCTGGCCCTCCCAGCTCAGGTCCCCTCCCAAAGGGTTAGGGTGTCCTTTTTTGGGGCTAATCGATGTGCCTCCAGTGCTGCACTGGATCGCAAATCTGCAGCAGGGGGCAGAGGACATGGGTGGGCATACCGTCTGCCCCGCGGCGGCCGGCCCCGGTCCCGCCGACGGGGGGCCCTCTCCTCGGCAGTGCATGGCCGTCTCCGGCGCCAGGAGGCGCCCATGAGAGGCCATGAGACGCTGTGCTCTTGCCGCGATGTGGCCATCCCACCGCTTGACCTCTTCCGGGGGGCCAGCTTCTCATCCCGAGTTGTTCTTCGACGGTCCTGGGGGCCTGGTGAGGGCCCCTGGAGGCCTATTTCAGCATGCCCGGGCCAAGCAACCAACCTCTGCCGTTGTTGGTTCCTGGCGCGAGGGTGCCGAGGCCCCCCTCCCTTTCCCATGCAACCCTCCCTTCTTTCAGGAGGGAAAGACACACAGACACAATTAATCGTCGACTTCCAGGAAGACATGGGAAACTATGGGAAAGGGGGGGACACGAAAGCTCAGAACATCTGGGAACATGGGGGAATCCTGGGATTTGTTTGTATCTATTCGTGTGTCCCAGGGCCCCTCTCTTTCCCACCCATACATGTGACGTCCTGATTTTTTCAGGACGGCGTCCCTGGAAGCCCCGACCCTGTCCCTGGGACCCGTTTGTCGTCCTGCGCGGGGTGGGGCTATCGGGCCCGATGTCGGCGATGATTGGGCAAGTGGGGGCTGACACCCAGACATGCGACGTCTTGATGTTTTCAGGACGGCGCTGCTGGACGTCCCGACCCTGTCCCTGGGACCAGTTTTTTGTCGTCCCGAGCCGTCTTTTGACGCTCCCAGGACCCGGCGAGGGCCCCCCAGGGCCGAACAGGGCCAAAAGCCTCCCGTCCGGATTTGGATTTTTGTTACGGCCCGGTCGCCTGCGTGTATTTATCTGTGTGTCCTTGGGCACCGCCTGTATCCGAGGCTATGCCTCCTCTCGGCCTCGCTCTGCGGCTCCGCCGCTTCCTCCCTCCTCTTCCCTGCCCAATTCGAGCTTCGCGCGGCCCGCTTAGCTTCGACCGGAAGAGGTGCGCTCTCGACCCGCGGATCAAAAAAAGTGTGTCCCCGGGCTCCTTTCGGGGCTGGACAGAACCCCCAACAGTGACACGTAGATTAGTGAATTGTCCGTTTTCGGTTCTCGAGAGGGCGCCGTGGCCGTTATTTTCCAGGCTTGCGCCCGCCAGGTTTGGGCCTCAGGTCGTTTTCACTAAACCACGTTCTACAAAAAGGGGGTCTGTCCATCCCCGGTCCCTGACGTCCCCCCTGCAGCCACCCCCTCTCGCCCTCGCCCCGCCTCGACGAGGCTGTCCGCGGACCTCCGGCCGCGGCTGGAGGGCGCGGCGCAGGCCGCCGCGGAGCTGGGCGAGAAGGCGCCGGGAGGGGGAAAAAAAAGCACGTGCGGGCGCGACGCATCTCCCCGGACCCCCTCGCGCGGTGAGAAACTCACGCCGGGAGGTTCTTCACGCTATTTTCGGCCCCCGGGGGCCCTGGCCGGGCCCCATAGGCCCATCAGACAAAGACTCGGGATGGAAACCGAGCCCGGGGAAGGGGTCCAGACCTCTGGGGGTCGACGCTGTGAAAAAATCACGACGTCGGGGGGTCTGGGCCATCGACCCCCAGGAAAAGATAGGAAAATATGGGAGACGCAAGCCGTCGGGCCGAATGAAAGGGGGGGATAGGGAAAGGGGGGGTTATGAAATCTGCTGCATGCAGCTGGCTTCGGCCCCGCCGCCGGGCACATTCCTCGATACTACATGGGCGCCTCCCGGCGCCGGGAGGCGCTGGGAAAATCAGGTACGTGAGCTGATCCTCTTCCCTGCCCTTTGCTATCCTCCCTCTTCGTTCCCCCCGAAAAAGGCGGCCGCGGAGCTGGGCGAGAAGGTGTCAGGAGGGGGATAACATATACGGACGCAACTACTGTGAGAACACATCATCACCAGCATCACAATCACCATCATCATCATCATCATCATCATCATCATCATCATCATCATCATCATCATCATCATCATCATCAGCATCAGCATCATCATCATCATCATCGTCATCGTCATCATCATCACCATCATCATCATCGACTCCCAGGAACATATGGGAAACTATGGGAAGTGGTGGGGGAAGACGGCAGCCCCGAAAACGTGGGGAACACATAGGGGATCCTGGGACTTGTGTCTGTTCCTTTGTTAATCCCCGCCGTCGCCGGGCGTTCCCCCTCCTCCCCCGTGCGTTGCGGCTTAATTCGCAGTTGTTCGTCCAACTTTTGCTGCCGTTCCGCCAGCGCAGTCACTCTGCCTAGCCGCCGACGCAAAAAGGCCGCCGCGGAGCTGGGCGAGACGGTGTCGGGATGGGGGAGAACATCTACAGACACAACTAAACTAAGAACACATCATCGTCTTACCATCACCATCACCATCATCATCATCATCATCATCATCATCATCATCATCATCATCATCATCATCATCATCATCTTCATCATCGTCACCATCGTCACCATCGTCATCATCATCATCATCATCATCATCATCATCATCATCATCATCATCATCATCAGCATCATCATCATCATCATCATCATCGTCATCATCCTCCTCCTCCTCCTCATCATCATCACCGACTCCCAGGACGTATGGGAAACTATGGGAAGTGGTGGGGGAAGACGACAGCCCGAAAACATGGGGAACTACCAGGGGATCTTGGGATGTTGTGTCGGTTCCTCTGTGCCTCCCATGGGCCCCTTTGAAAGGTGGCGGAGAAGGAGGAGGAGGAGGAGGAGGAGGAGGAGGAGGAGGAGGAGGAGGACGAGGAGGAGGAGGAGGAGGAGGAGGAGGAGGAGGAGGAGGAGGAGGAGGTGGAGGAGGACGAGGAGGAGAGGAGGACGAGGAGGAGGAGGAGGGAGGAGGAGGAGGAGGAGAGGGGGAAAAACATACAGACACAAGTTATCATCGACTCCCAGGAAAATATAGGAAAATTTGGGGAGGGGGGGGGGGGAAGGCGAAAACCTAGAACGCATGGAGAAACTAGAGGGGATCCTGGGATCTTGTGTCTGTTCCTCTGTGCCGCACTGGGTCCCAGGGCTGGACCTAAACGCTGTTTTGCTGGACTTCGGCTGCTCTGTTCTTCGTTGTGGGAGGGAGGTACAACGTGTATGTCCAGCCCTATTTGTGTTTCGCTGGGCCCCTTTTTGCGGGGACACAGGGGAGGCCCTGTTTGTGTCTCCTGGAAGACGAAAACCCGGAAGGCATGAGACAACTAGAGGGGATCCTGAGGAGGAGGAGGAAGAGGAGGGGGAGGAGGAGGAGGAGGAGGAGGAGGAGGAGGAGGAGGAGGAGGAGGAGGAGGAGGAGGAGGAGGAGGAGGAGGAGGAGGAGGTGGAGGGATGGAGGAGGAGGGATGGAGGAGGAGGAGGAGGAGGAGGAGGAGGAGGATGGAGGGATGGAGGGATGGAGGGATGGAGGAGGAGGATCCTGGGAGTCTGTGTCTGTTCCTTCGTGTCTCCCTGGGCCCCTTGTCTGTGAAGGTGGCGGGGCTGCGGTCCGCCCTGGAGCAGCTGCCCCTGCTGCGCAGGGAGGCGCAGGAGCTCGTGGGCAAGCTGACCAGGCCTCGACGGGCAGCGCCACGGCACAAAGCCTCCGCGGCAGCGTCGGGGCAGGGTCGGCCCAAGTCGGGCCTGCCCCTCTACAGGAGGAATATTCAAACATGATCAAGGGAAATAATCTGGGGACGATTTTTCGATTGTTTTAGGACTATTTTCATGTATTTCTTCGACTGCTTTAATTTTTCGTCCATGATCCGCCTGTCGGGGGACAGGCCCGACCTGAGGGGGAAGCCCAGGTGGGAACGTGTCGACCCCCACTTGCCCATTCGTCCCCAGACATGATCGGATCGTAAGGCAATCAGGACGGGAGGTTTTTTTGCCATTTTCGGCCCTGGGGGGCCCTCGCCGGTACCTGGACCGTCAAAAGACAACTCAGGACGAAAAATTGGTCCCGGGGACAGGGTCGGGACTTCCAGGGACGCTGTCCTGAAAATATCAGGACGTCGCATGTCTGGGTGTCAGCCCCCACTTGCCCATTCATCGCCGACATCGGGCCCGATAGCCCCACCCCGCGCGGGATCGTGCGGATCTGCTATCGGGGGCCCATCAATGGACCATCGGCGATACATCGCCGATTCCAGGTCGATGCTTCCCCCCCGATGGACTGGTTCCCCCATAACGTTGAATTGGGTCAATATGGCAATCGCGACCAGGGCTCTGCTTGAACAAATTCCAGAATCTCTTGCTGGACATCGCCTAATTGTTTTGGGCAGGCATTCCCAGAATTTTTGGAAAATCTTCAAGCCCCAGAATCTCTGGGCAAATCTCCGGAAAATCTTCGGGCTATACGGATTTCTGGGGGAATCTGTGGGAAATCTCCGCGGAGCATGAATCTTTGAAATGTATCCAGCAATCAATGGAAAACCTCTGGCGTGCAGGAACCTTTGGGCAATGTTTTCAAAATGTTTGGCAAGTTTCTGGACAATCTCTGGCGTGCAGAAGTCTTGAGAAAAACTATGGAACATCTTGGGCAAATCTCCGGAACATCTCTGGCGGAGAATTCCATGGAGGTCTTTAAGGTACGAAGATGTTTTGAGATTCGCTGGGAGATCTCCAAGGCGTGGAGATCTTTCGGAGATTCGCCAGAATATCATTCGGAGACTCGAGGTTCGCGGGAATCATTTTCGGAGATTCCAGGGCGGTCGCATTTGCCATTATCGGCCCAGTCCAGCCCCAATTTTGCCCCTCAGAGACACGTCAGTCATATGGACACATGCATGACGCGGCCAGCCCAGGCCAGAGCTGGAACGGCAGTGTGGCCATGTGTCTTGCTGGTGCTCGGCCCCCGTGCGCCGGGCACGGTCCTCCACATGTGTATCCGGCAGGTAGCAGCCAGATGTTCCACATGTGAATCCAGCCATGTGTGTGTCCGTGTGTGTCCGTCCGTGTGTATGTGTGTGTGTGTGTCCGTGTGTCCGTGTGTGTGTGTGTGTGTGTGTCCGTGTGTGCATGTGTGTGTGAGAGTGTGTGTGGGGGGTCCAGTTTCCGGGTAATATTGGGAAGAACTTGCGGCTGGCGGCTGGCACCGCCGATCCTGAAGGGGGACGACGACCTCGACGGCGGCGTTGGCGGCGACGCCGACGCTGACGTGGGGCAGCGTCCTCAGTTATGCTTCGTCCGGCCTCTTTGGAACGCGCTCGTAGGCCTCTGGGGGGCAGTTTTTGGGCCTCTTGGGAGCATCTTGGGGGCTTCTTGGTAGCCTCTTGGGGGTCGCTCTGGGCTTCCTGGGGGCCTCTTGGGAGCCTCTTGGGGCCTCCTGGGGGCCTCTTCGGGGCTCGGGATCTCCTGGGAGCTTCTTGGGGCCAAGGGCTCGAAATGTTGGTTAGGGCTCACGCGTGGGCACCCTCTTGGAGCCGTTTTGGGGGCTTCCTGGGCCGTCTTTGAGGCCCGTAGGGCCTTGGGTTCCTCTTGGGTCGTTTTGGGGCCGTCTTGGAAACCTCTTGGGGGCCTCTTGTGCCGATCTTGGTGGCATCTCGGGCCGTCTTGGGGCGTCGGGAAGCCGAAAAGGCGAGATCGCCAGAGTCGTTCAACGCAGAAGATCATTTAGTTTTGCTTGCTGGGGCCCTCTGAGTGTGCTCTAGGAGGCCTCTTCGAGCGTCTTGGAAGCCCCTTGGGCTGTCAGGAGTCAGGAGGTCATCTCTGGCGTCTTGTTCCGATGGTTCGGCGATTCTTGGGGGCTTGTTGGGCCCAGTGAAAGGGGGGGTAGCAGAGACGGGCCCAGGGAAAGGTGGGTCGGACGAGACGACGACGACGACGGCGACGACGACGACGACGACGACGACGACGACGACGACGACGACGACGACGACGACGACGACGACGACGACGACGTCGAGGACGAGGACGAGGACGAGGACGAGGACGAGGACGAGAACGGGGACGAGGGCGACGACGACGACGACGAACATGACGACGACGAGTCAAACAAAACAGCGTCTTCCACGCGCTGACAGGGTCGGCGGATTTCGGAGGCTCGCGCGTATCTCCCGAGACGGCTCTAGATCCGCCCTGGCGGCGCCTCCGGCGCCGCTACTGGCGCGCTTCGCGAGTTAGGTGCTAACGGTCCAGCGCCGACCCCATACATTTGTGGGGTCCCGGACGCTTTGCACCTGTGCCGCTCTTTTTTGGCTCCTCTCTACAGGCGGCAGGTGTCAGAGATCAAGCAACTGGCGCGGAACCCTCCAGACTGCATTCGACGCACCCTCTCGGCCGCGTGGCTGCTACTGAACGCGGACCGCTTCCGCGGCCAGTCCGCCGTGCAGTTCAACGAGGAGAAGGACTGGCGTCGCTGCCAGCGGATGCTCGGCGAAGACAGCTTCGTCAGCGGCATCCTGAACTACAGCCCCGCCTGCCTTGAGGTCTCCCCGCAGATCCCGCAGTACGTGGCGTCGACGTACCTGGGAATGAAGCTCGCTGGCCCTGGCCCCGCGCAGGAGCCGGCTGTGCCGCGCTGCGCCTCGCAGTGCCGGAGCGGCAGCTCGGACGCACCCGCTCACGGGCCCGCGCAGGGCGCGGCTGGCGCGGCCGGCGCGCCCAAGCCGCGGGCGCCGTCCAAGGGCACGCGGTCGCAGGCGTCCTTGGGCGCCGCGGGCTCCAAGGCCTCCCTGCCGAAGCCGCCCCTCGAGGTCGCCAGCGTGTCGCGCGCCAGCGAGCCCTGCGGGACGCTGCTGCTGTGGATGCAGCGGCTGATGGCCGAGAGCCAGGAGCGCAGCAGGCTGCTGCGGGAGCTGGCCCCCGCCGAGGCGGAGCTGCGGGCGGCGGAGCAGGACCTCCGCGCGCTGGAGGCCGAGGCCCGCCGGGACGAGGGCGCGCTGGCGGTGCTGCGGCTGCGGGCCCTCGAGCGCGAGCACGAGCTGCGCAGGCTGCGCGGCGAGGGCCGGCCGCCCTCGGGGCGGCGACTGTCGGCCACGGGGCAGGCGCCGCTCTCCAGCCGGCCGCGCTCTGGCCGGCCGCCCTCTGCGGGCCGGCCGGTCTCCAGCCGGCCGCGCTCGGGGCTGCGGAAGCGTGCGGTGCTCAGGGGCGGCCCCACCGACCCTTCGCAAACTACCCTCTTCCGTGGCGTCCCCCGCGCCTCGCCCCAGGTCAAGCCGTGGCGAAGCGTCCTGGCTCGCTTTTTTAGGCCCACCAGAGGCTGTTCTAAGAGCCTTCTGCGGTCTGCGCGAGCTGTTCTTAGAACATTTCTTCTGGTCGAGACTGCCTTGTTTTGACATGTCGGGCTCTGATGTTCTAAGAAGGTTGTTCTTGTCCGTAGCACATTTTTAGGTTCTAAGAGATGTCGTGGTAGGCCTGTAGGACTGCCGGGACGGGCGGCCCCTGCTTAACGAAGACGTATGTATGCGTCCGGAAGCTTCGAAGGCGAGGATGACGTCGGCGAGGGGGATGGTTTGCCAGGGGTCGATGAGGCCGCGCCCGAGGTGCGCCGCCTGGACCTGCCGCCCGTCCAGCCCGTCACGGCCGGGGGGGCGGGCAGCAGGTCCGCGACCCCGGTCAGCAGCGCGCGGGGCACGAACCCTGCAGTGGGGCACCTGCGGCCGTCAGGGCTGGCGCTGACACCGCTGCGCGCCCCTCGCACGCCGAAGGTGGAGCTGGACGTCACCGGCAGGCTCAAGTCCGTGAAGGACCGCCTGGCCCAGTTCCGGGTGAGGTTCGACAAGAACTGCTCGGTGATAGTGGAGGAGAGCCAGGCGCTGGAGGCTCTCGGCAGGATCGCCCTCGTGCTGGAGGAGCACCGCGGCCGGTTGAAGCTGGCGCTGGAGGGCCACTGCGACCATGGCGAGGACGAGGGCGTTGACGAGGCGCGGGGCAACGCCGTGGCCAGGTGGCTCGTTGACAGGATGGGCGTGGCCGCGGGGCTGCTGCGCGTGAGGGGCCGGAGGCACGCCGCGCCCGGTGGGCGCTGCGTGGTGCCGCGGCCGCTGCAGGAGCTCGTGCCGCTGTACGGGCCCATCAGCCCGAAGCTCGCCTCCTCCAATGGGCGTGTTGGGCTCTACTTCGAGGAGGCCAAGGCCTCGGGCCGTCAAAAATGGGGCAGGAGCGTAGACGGTGTTGGAGGCTCGCGCCGCGTCGACGATGCATCGGCGATGCGGCGCGTCCCGGGAGAGCCCTCTGTTCTCCAACTCGACGACGCCGCTGCGTCGACGACGAGGCGCGATCCTCCGACCCCGTTTGCTCTGGACCTAGTGGGGCGGCATTTCAGAGGCGGAGCTCACTCCCGAGACGACCTTCATCCTGATGGAGATGGCGAAGTGGCTCGAGGGGGAGAAGGGCACCGCCATCATCGAGGGCCACTGCGACAAGGCGGAGCCGCCCAGCCTGGGGATGCGCCGCGCGAGAGCGGCGGCCGACGAGCTGGTCAAGCTGGGGGTTGGCCCGAAGCGGCTGCAGCCCGAGTCGCGCATGGCAGAGAGCCCTCTGTCCACACTGCACGCAGCCCCCAACCGCCGCGTGGAACTGTACCTCGGGTGAGGCCGCCGCGCCCCATGGGGCGTTGGCGGCAGTGCGCCCGCCCCCGCCCTCTCTGTCATCCCCTGCAGGCGCTTCTCCTTGGCGCGCTCGCGCCCCGTGCGCGCCCCCGCCCCGTCCGGCTGGGCGCGCGCCCCCCGGCTGCGCTGCACCCCCCCCGCCTCGCTGAGCGTGCGCGCGGGGCCGTGCAGCTGCCCCTCTTGGACGCTTCGCGCTCACCGCCCGCGCCTGGTCCAGTCCTCGGCGGGCGGGCCGAACACACTCATACAGTCAAAAATCCTAAGAAGGACGCGCGACTTTGCTCAGGGTACCCTTGCGTCCTTGCTCTGCCTTGCTCTTGCGTCCTTGAGGTTTTCGTCGTCCGCCGCCCCAAAAATCCCAACTTCGGCTTCCAAGGGTCTTGCGTCCTTGCCGCGCGTCCTTATTAGGGTTTTGATAGTGCTCGAGTGGAGCCCAAGACGGCTCCGCAGGAGGCCAAGAGCGGCCCAAGATCTCCCCCCCCCCAGTTGGAAGACAACTGCCCAGGAGAAGGGCCCGAAGCGGCTCGGGAGTGCTTTCCGACGGCCCAAGCGCGATCATCCCGCGCCGACTGGGCCAGAGCCTCGTCCGAATGCCATCCGTTTCAGGCCTGACCCAGGCCCATCTTCGCCCCGTTTGAGGGCCAAAGTTGGGGCCAGATTTGTTCAGCAATGAGTGTCGGACTGTGTCCGCAATTGAGTAGAAACGCTTGCCAGCGTGGACCCCAACCAGATGGTTCCTGCACTCTCGATTTGCACTCAAAATGGTGGACTATATGGGGTGTAGTCAATATGGCGTAATAGATGTGGTGCAATGTATGTGGTGCAAGCTATATGGCGCGAGCTACGTGGAGCGGCCTATGAGATGCAGTTTACATTGTGCGATCTGTGGAACGCAGCATATGCGGTGCAAGCTATGTGGGGCACCTTGTGTGGTGGAAGAAGACTGCTGTGATGGTGGCAGAAAGCTGGTGGTGGTGGTGGTAAAAGTCGTCGCAGAAGCAGTACGAGCTGCATGTGTGTGTATATATATATATATATATATCAGTGGTTGCCAGCCAGCCAGCCAGCCCGCGAGCCAGCGAGCCCACCAAGCGTCAAGCCAGCCAGCCCTCCAGCGCGTTGCAGATATATGAGGTCTAGTTCTCACCTGCAACGCGCTCTAGCAGATGAGTTGAATCGCTTCGCTCATTTCGCCGGCCCATTTCGCATCAATGTGGCTGCATGGTGGTGTGCTCGCGTCCAGGGGAAACGGTAAGGCAGGCAGGGCGGTCTTCGAGGAGATGTTTGGAGCTGTCGAAGAGAGCCGATCGACTGCCCCAGAGGGCGCCAAGATGGCTCAACAGAGCTCCAGTAGAGTTTCGAGACGTACCTGGGTTGTGGGTCAAAGTCCTCATGGATGCTTCTTGGGGTCTCTTCGGAGGGAGCCTCTGGGGAGCAGTTTTGAGGCCTTTGGGGAGCCTCTGTGGGGGGCTTCTCGGGGGCCTCTTGGGG